TGACTACAACTCAGATGGTCAATAAGATGTAGACATCACTTACCATAGAGTGCAGTCAGTGCGACAGTTGTCAAGTTGTATGATATATATTGAAATCAAATAAATGCCAATCATCTTCACTATGGAGACTACTATTAGTACCAATAATTATTTACAAATGGACGTCAATAAAAGATCGGCCAAATTTTGCACATCAAATGATACAAGGAATAATTGTGTGAACGGTGAGCTACATTTTCTCTTGTACATGTAACAGTTTAATTAAGGACCGAATGTTTGAAATTCAGGGTACTGTGGAATACTCTATTTTCGCTTCGAGTTAATTTTCGCTGAAGGAATGATTCAGTGAAAATAAAATCCAGCAAATATACCTTCTTTCCTATATTTTACATACAACTCGTCAAAAATAATAAAAAATAAATTCCATAGAAAAACACCCAAAAAAATCTATTCAGCGAAAATTAATTCTAGCTAAAATAATGTATTTTACAGAAATCTTTTCACATACATGCATTTAGAACTTTGTTTACCCTTTTATTTTCATATTAGTGAAGAATTTATTATATCAAACCAAGTTTTAAAGAACTTGCTTACATTCAAACATAAATATTGAATGGTAGCTCACTCTTCTACATGTCCAATTTAATTCAATGTATGGGCCCTTATCTGTTTTATGGCATTTTGTCAACATTCACAGGAATGGTTATTTATCTAATATCATATAGAGAACAAAATATTGCTGGCTTTAGTGGCTTAGCATTTCTGGTCACCTAGATTTTGATTATCTTTCATCCAACCCCACAAATAAAGTCCTTACCAAAACATTCATGACAAAACAGTGTGCTTTCCCTTGAACCAAACAACAATGGCAGGAAATAACAACAATGCAAGCTATGAAATACTATACATTGGAAAGTGCTAACAAAATGTAAACACATTCCCATATTACCCACATACTGCAACAACATACCAGTTCACAAGTGTTTACTTGCAAAAAAAAACTATCTGCTCATGTGCCTACGTATATCATATGTCAAATGTCAGTAACACAGAAGACATTGATGATGCAACACCAGACACCATTTATAGCATTTTATTAATAGCATACAATGTAATTACGTACACTTGTAGATTGTGCTGTCAGTAAACACGCACGAATTTGTGGGAGGTGGAGTTGTATTGACACTTTAGTCAGCCATGGAACTTTCAGTTAAACTATTGTCACTTTGATGTAACTGTCCAGTTACCGCAAGAAAGTCATGGCAAAATACACCTTCTTTGCTGCATTTTCAGCACCAATCAACTTTCACATGCCCAGTGTTTTTGAAGAACCAACCAATCAAACGAATTATACATGTACTATAAAAAGTACATGAACAGTTTGAGTGAACAATTTCTTGACATAGAAACAGGAACTTCACAGATATCAAAACTTAAATCTGTAGTTAAAGGGCAATGACTGCGATGGCAACATGCATTCAAAATTTTGCATTACTAAACACATTTAACCCACACATGAATACAATACAATGCAATGGAATATGTAGTACAGCCAAAGATTGCAAATACCACTAATTTAATTATTGAACACGAAATTAAGTGTTGATTGGTTATTTTTTTCACGTCTATCCAAATCATTTCTACCAAATGCAGGCTTTGTTAAACATGTACATCACTTGGCAGGTGAGAATGCAGTATAAGCTGGCAAATGAATCATTGAAAAAAGTATGATACTGACATCACTTTTCAGATGACAATGTTAGCAAAGATCTCACAATATTTACAAAGTACTTGAACTTAGATATTTTGAAGGCAGAAAATTTCTAAAAATGCCCTCGACATTTCACATGCACCATCATACTATAATATACATGCAATTGGTAGAAAATGGTTATGGTACAGTTTGATGAATAAAATGTTTATAACACAAAAAGACATTCATACAATTATTATGAATTTAGGTGTGTAATTTTTAATTATTTGTATTTTGAAAAATAAAACAGCAATAATTTGAGGAAAATTCAGACAAAAGTTCAAAACCATGATATTGAAGAATACAAAGAAAATTAAACAACAAATATTAGCATGTAAAACTGATCATTGGTTTTGTATTTACTCAAACCAACAACAAAGATGCTAGGAATAAAATGATGCAAAAGATCACAAAATTTGTCTGAATGTAAGCGAGTTTGCAGCTATGCACTGAAGTAACATTAATGAAAAATTGATAACAATCGACTGATTGAAAACCAGATAGCAGCTGCAAATGAAGACAGATAACTCGTCTCCCATCACTGGAAGCAGAGTCCACAATGGAAACAACAAATAAGGCAAACATCAAACAGACAGAGAAACAACACAGGATTAACAACCATAATTCTACTAAAACATATACCTAATCACAGTCCCTCTAGAGGGATAGAGGGACTGTGACCTAATACACAATTAGTAATATTTTTGGCTGTGTCAAAAGTTTAAATGGAACATATGTACACGTATACATGTATAGACAAATTTTCTGGAACAAAACTGGATGAATCTCTCGATAAAAGCTTTTTGAAGTGATTGTCAATAAATTGGACCCTGTAAGTGAATATAGACTTTTCATGTTTTGATAGACATGCTACACAATAGGTAGGCTTTCATTTAGGCAACACATTGCGCCATTAAGTGTATTGTGTATGACACAACTGACCTGCTTTAAAAATCTGGGCCATGCTACGACAGATGATTATACTAAGGGGGAGGACCAAGTTTATAACACTTTTATGAAACAAGACAAAACCCAGATGATCAATTTAAAAGCCAAACTTTTTGTGTGTGTAAAGAGTATTATTATACATCTGTCACCGTAACGCCATAAGTTACAGCGTGCCGTAATTCTGCAGTATTTTACGGGCTTATTTACGGGCTTATACGAATTCCAAATATGGAATGATTACGCGCGTAAGCGTCCTCTAATAATAAAAACAAACATGGCTACCACCAGGGTATGGCCGGTCTCCATACAAAGAAGTTCGCTGATTCTGCTCTAAACTTTTTTGGATATCGGCATTCCCATGATGTATCCTTGGAAGGAAAAGATGTATAATAATAAGGTTATTACAAAGATACCTCAAAATATGCACTCAGACAGTACGCTGTCGCATCGACCTCTGCTGCGCGTTGGTCGATACTTCCGCTGTACTGTCTTTGTGCATACTTTGAGGTATCTTCGTAATAACCTTATAGTACATAGGGAAACCTGGGAATGATATTATTGTAAACCAGATACATGTAGATTAGGTATTTTGAAACAATTAGCCTCTACAGTTAGCTGCACTATTCAGATGACAATGTAAGCAAAGATCTCACAATATTTACACAGTGCTTAAAACTTATTCTGAGGGCACACAATTTCAATGCCAAAATTTCTAAAAATGCCCTTTACTGAGTGAAATTGTAAAGAGAGGACTGAAGGCGAATCAATTGGCTTCATGGCCAACATGAATTTCGAGCTATGTAATTTATATAATAAACCCATCATGGTATATAATGAATGAAAATTGAGAGTAGTAGACATGTAGTAGAATATTTAGTGATGACGGCTAAACAACAATGCTTTAAAATCAAAGAAACCGAATAAAACTGCAACAACCTTATGGATGTCATTAAGATAAAATAGAAGTTGGCAATGGTCCAATTGGGTTTGTGAACCAATTACAAGTGACAATCTTTTGATACTGGTATAATTTACTATTCTTAACGCCCATGTCATTTTCCAGATTAAATCTTCACTTCAGGTTTCAATAAAAACAGAGAACACACCAAGTACACTCACAATACAAACTAATATAGAGATTTTTGTAGCTTTTAAACAAGGCATAAGTGAATAACTATTGGCAGGAATTAATCAGTGTTGGGTGCAATCTAGATGCGTTTTTTCTTGGAAATTTTAAATACTAAAAATCTATTTGCTTCATATTTAATATCGGTGTGATGAACTACTGAAATTATTATATGAAATATTTTGTTTACCACGAAGCGATATTCATTTTACGCTGATTGCCGGCCTTGTGGAGCATACAAAACTCTTTGAAAACACTCTACTACAAAACAACAACAACACAAGACTTACAAGATTAGGTATGCATGACGTCAGTGGTAGGAACACATTTGTGACTTCATCACTTTGTAATTGATTAGTTTCTATTGCAAGGGGAATCCCAACGCCACTGGTATGCTAAATACTGTAAAATCATTTATTTTCACTGGCATATAATTTCACTATTTTGAGCATGTTAATACATTTGCTATCAAAACAATAAGTTCTATTGTTATTTTACATGTTCACATGGAATTAATTTAGCAACCTTTACTTATTAGCGAAATTAAGACCCAGCAAATAATCATTGCATTTACAGTACTGGTATATATATTTGGTGGTGTTGTACAGGTACTTTTCGTATCCAGAAATATTCATGAAATAATGTAAACATACAAAAAGAATTAGAGGTGATTCTGTTGTAAATTAATAAATAATAAAATTCACTTGGAGTGAAGAATGTAATAATTTTTAAAATATCGCATGTCACATTATCGATATACTGTCATGCATTGAATCACACACAAACAAACAAAATAAAAATTTCCAGGGTTGTCGTCTAGTCAGACGTGCAGTTATGAGCATCAGATGGTCCATAGATTAAGTCAAAATAAACACAAATAATAATATTACTGTATGTAAATATTCAGGTCACTATTCAAACATCGTTTTTAAGAGCGTGTTTACAGAATTATAGAAAATAGTGATAGAAAAGGTTGAGGAAAATTCATTTCATGATTCAAATCGACAAGCTGTGTAAAAATCACAATATTTTGTCGAACGGGCGCTTTAGTTCCCCCCGAAAAGCACGGCAGATGGGAAATTTAAATTCTATACGAGACAGTCAGCATCCTGTTCATATGCAGATGAGAAAAAACAAAACGTGGTCCATGCCTCCATGTATACAAATGCCTACCTTTTTTCGGTTGTCCCCTTCCTTTGCCCATGCGAGATTTTCGCATGTTTTTTGTGTTTCTTTGAACTTGCACCGTACCGTTAATTTGCTGCATCTCGGTACTTGGACTACGCTTGATCCTTCTCTTAGCTTTTCGCTTTATACGGCTGTCTGACGTGCTGGACCCCATCTCCACATTACCAACAATACTGTTGTTATTCTCGAGTCCCTCGCCATGTTTCTGACCCTCGGCTGATGCAGACGGTGCAATGGCGGTTTCAATCTCGCTAGCCATTGCTGTTTTACACTCAATTATCAGAGAAAATAGGTGAAACTGGAGCAAGAGAGAAACAATAAACTGGAGAAAACGAAAGTCCTGTTGGTTTTGCGAAGAACTGTAATTTAGGGACTACGCTCAGCACCAAATGGAGTTGCCACTAAAAATTATAGATTCCCTCTTCGACCACTGGTTTGCTTGCTTCTTGTTATGATTTTCTGCTAGGTATGGCTGACATGATCACGTGCTAAAACGCACCAATCAAGTTGACAGTATGTCTTACGGGTGTTGAGGGTCCGTAGCTTGTTTTTGTAATTGTCCACGTGCAGTACATTTAAATTGCGACACAGGCCAAATCACTCCAGTCGTTTCAAGTGTAATTGGTTATATTTCGTGAAAAATGTCACATATTAATTGATATGAGCGGCAATCGAACGTCGAAATATTGTCCCATCCCAATAAAAATGGAGTGGTTCGACCCAAATGGCAACAAAGTCGACTCGTACACGCCACGTCACGAGGGACTACACAAGTTGTGACGTTCGAAGTAAACAAACTTGTGACCTTGCATAACCTTCAAATGGGTCAGTGGGCAGGCCGACGATGATCACGATCGCTACAAAGGCAGTCGTTATATGCTACACGTTCTAGTAATCGCTTAGCATACTAACCTACTAACCATATGTTGTTGTATTTTCTTTTGTTGGAGGCGATGGGGAGATAGTATATATATTAAATTGAACAAGGGTGATAATAAGGTACACATTGCATATCAGGTGGAACTAACTCGTTGTGACTGAATCGCAATGAGTGGATCTCGGAGTTTCTTTTTGGTTGGCCATACATATTTTCAGTTACCCCCATGGCCATAACACTTTGGAAAGGGAATTTTCATGCATTACTTTTTTTTACACACAAATGATTGTTGATGAAAATGACCTCACCCCAGGGGAAAAAAATGAATTTAAGATCGGATTTAAAAACGATAGTACAGAACACAATAGTAAACATGGCTGCGTATGTAACTGTTTTAAATGATACATCTTTTTTTAAATTTTAAAATATATGCATTCTTTATTGGTGAATTTTCATATTTCGGAAAGAATGCATCAACGGAAATTCGAACTTTTATCAGTGAGCTGTAAAACTCACATATTAGAGTGACAGAGAGGAAAAGACTACTAGAAAGTAGTCTTGAGACAAGTGTTTGTTTAACTAAATAAATGTAAAAACGCATATGTAAATGTAAAAAATATGCGAAATACAGGGGCCGAGTAAATATGGCAGGTGACCTACTTTAGATTTTCCCGCCAAAAATCCATATTTCACAAAACCCTTGAAGGTTCGATAAATGCCAGTGTGACTTTGAAGATGCATTATGGATGAGAATGTGCAGTTTTAGTATTGTTGTTTCATACTGTATAATAAAACTTGCACTGGAGGATGATTTATCATGAATCTGAAAACGATTTTCCCGTACAAGGTAGCAGGCTTCTGAGTATGATGAAACAACGTCATTCTACAGTACACATGTGCACTGGGTGTTTTGGTATAAGTACAATAACAATCACTGCGCATGCGTCTTACTGGTTTTGACTTTTCATCTAACAAACACTGTTGTGTTTCTTACAAGCGCATCAGTTTCAGTTTGCGATAAACCATATAACAACTTTATTTACTGTATGAAGTGTGCAACATATTAAAAATACACTATTATTATTATCTTTTGCATAGACCTTAATAACAAGTTAATGTTTTAAACTGACGAGAACATCTCGTTTTTGATAATAATAATTCACATCCATATGCCAGCACATTTTTCGAACCACATCCATCAAAAACCGTGGCCTCCACTACATGTGCTGCCAGCAGCCGTCGACACAACAAACAGTAGAAATGAACTGCGGGACGTGTCAACAATAAAGACAGCAGGTATACCAGAAACAAATATAATGTGTACCAGTGGATGGATGATGTTGGACTCTGAATTTATCACTTTTGCACGTTTTTCAACCTAGTTGCTTTTCGATAAATAATAACATGGGTCTTATTTTACTGTATTTATTTTAATTATAAGAAATTCCAAGAAGAGAAGTGAATATACCCTCGTAAGTGTATACGGAAAAAAAATGAAAAGAAGAAAACAAAAGCTGCTCGCATATACGCGTGTAGCAGTGACAATAATTCACGTTAAAATCAGTCAATTCATCGTTTCATTATTTGTCAGTATGTAAAAAAAAGACAAATAATATGCATAAAATGGCAAGTAAATCACATTCCCTTTTAAAAAAGACCAATTTTGTAATATTTTCTAGATATCAACAAGTACCCTGTGAGACACTACATGTATATATTTTTTCACCGAGAAAATGTTTTGAGATATATGTTTGTGATGGAAAACAATGATAAAATGCCCCGAAACAGACAAAACATGTTATTTTCACTCCAGCTTGGATACATCGAGTTTCTCTGAGTACGGTAACCCCATGTTTTTATTTAATTTTCTTAAACATTGTAACATGATATATATCAAATACAGAAAAAAATGAAGGAAAAGCGAACATTTTCGCTTTTATGTAGCATTCTACTATAATACTAAAAGTGTTCAGTGTACGTAAATGAGGTGTTTTGAATTTTTTATTACCGATATTGAAACATTTTTTTACCACATCTCTACTTAGTATTCACAAGAGTATAACCGAACCCGATAATCGGCTCTCAAAACGCCCGACCTTATTGAACAATGTTTAAAAATACCTGCATGGGTCATAATGAATTAAATAAAAGTATAATGATAAGTGATCATGCCACTCGTAACGCTATAGTGGCATTTGTCAACGCAAGCTATACACCCATATGCCGCAATATGGTGATACCCTACCCAGTTTACTAACATGTGAAAAACACTTAATTAAACACTGTAATTAAATTGAACAACCAATTATCGTTTATTACGCGTAGTTATGTAAAGGGTTGGGTTACTTTCTATGCGTGGTTTGAGATATTAATAATATGCATGTTTCTCTGAACACAAACGGTGCTAAAAATTTTAGGACTTTTTATTTTTTTTTTATATTTTAGACTTACATTTTTGGCTTATCTGGTGTTGACATTTTTCTCCGGTCGCCGAAAAAAAAATGAAAAATGTTATGAAAGCACGTGTAGAGCTATGAAAGCTCAGTGACATCAGGAGGTGTAATCGTGCATGCATCTTGATAATTTGACATTTTGACTTGCACGTTTGGAGTGTTCGGTAGACGTTGCGTTAAAAATAAGGACTCTGTGGCAAAAAAAAAATATCATGAGACGTGCAATACGTGTAAGCTCTGAATGGTGTATGGAACCGTGCATACATGTTAGGCATTTTCACATTATTGGCCTGCACGTTTGGCATTTTGTACTCGAAGAGGACCCTGAGGAGGGGTCCTACCCGCTCGTTTGGCATTTTTTACTCGAAGAGTACCCTGAGGAGGGGTCCTACCCGCTCGTTTGGCATTTTTTACTCGAAGAGGACCCTGAGGAGGGGTCCTACCCGCTCGTTTGGCATTTTTGTATTTTGTCGTGTTGAATGCGGACTGTGAGGTGAAACGTACAGGTCAAAAACTGAAAAATGCAAATCACTTGACATACTTGAGTCGTTGTTTTTAATGAGCAGGTACCAGTTAGTTAGTCACGTATCATACGATTGGGTCACAGAGAGGACACGTTATTCATTCGCGAATGTTGTCTGCAGTTTATTTATATTTTCACTGAACCTTACATCATGTTTGCTCATTTTAAAATTTAAATAAGTTTTATCCGACTCAGACGTTACGTTTAGAACTTGACAGCAGAAATGTGAAACGTTCTTGAATGTTCCTACAATACCTTACATGCATTTTTTTCTCTCGGAGCTAGCTTGCATTTTTTTTAACAAGTCCACCCCCATGATTTGAAATGGTTGATCCCTCATATACGATTGAGTCACAGAAAGGACATGTTATTGATCCACAAATGTCGGTCAACGAGTGCACTTTACTTGTGCCTTTTTCTGATGATCACAATGGAGACGTTATTATAGCAGCGCCCTCTTGACGCATGGAGCCGGGAACAGCCACTGGTGGCGCTGTATACAATCGAAACCTATTGAGAAGGGTTATGCGCACGCCACATTGGGTCGTATCTGGGAGCTCTCAAATAGGACCTCCCGAATACGACCTACTTTACATATTACCCATATTGCATTATACAAAATGGCTGGTAGGTTAGTTGTTAGTTTTTTTCGGTTTCTTCGCAGTGTGTACTCGATGTTTTGCGTTTACCAGTAATCGTACGTTTTCCTGACGCAGTATTTGAACCAATATCGCCTCGCGAGATAGCGATTCAGTTTGCATGTTTATTCATGTTTATGAACGTAGGATTTATTTACATTTATTGGAATATTTATTGGCATCGGACTCGTTGCGTTGACCCGAATCTTCGACAGCTTGTTAAACGGAAGAATAACACATAGATTTCCATACTCTTCAGGAGTAAAACAGAGCTGTAACTTAAGCCCAACATTATTTAATCGTTTTTATTTTATAAATGCTCTCCA